TGGGTTTGGGGCCGTTTGGGGCCGTTTGGGGCCGTTTCTCACGGGGTTTTTTGGGGATTTTGGGGATTTTTGGGGATTTTGGGAATTTTCCGGAACATTCCGGGGTTTTCCAGGAGGATCTCTCACCGCCAGGAAGGATTTCTCCAGGGCGAAGCGCACGTTGGGTTTGGGATGGGTTTGGGATGGGTTTGGGATGGGTTTGGGATGGGTTTGGGATGGGTTTGGGATGGGTTTGGGGCCGTTTGGGGCCGTTTCTCACGGGGTTTTTTGGGGATTTTGGGGATTTTTTGTGATTTTGGGAATTTTCCGGAACATTCCGGGGTTTTCCAGGAGGATCTCTCACCGCCAGGAAGGATTTCTCCAGGGCGAAGCGCACGTTGGTCTCGATGCTGGTTCGTTTCTTGCGCCGCCGCCCCGGGAGCCCCTCGAAGCCCCCCAGGGAGGGGGGGCCCAGCGAGGGGGGGCTGGGCAGGGTCGAGTCCACCGACATCGTCTCTGGGGGGGGAGGGGCAGCGCCCTATAGAGCCTGGGGAGCCTATAGGGCCCTATGGACCCTATGGACCCTATAGAGCCTGGGGAGCCTATAGGGCCCTATGGACCCTATAGAGCCTATAGAGCCTGGGGAGCCTATAGGGCCCTATGGACCCTATGGACCCTATAGAGCCTGGGGAGCCTATAGGGCCCTATGGACCCTATGGACCCTATAGAGCCTGGGGAGCCTATAGGGCCCTATGGACCCTATAGAGCCTATAGAGCCTGGGGAGCCTATAGGGCCCTATGGACCCTATGGACCCTATGGAGCCTGGGGAGCCTATAGATCCTGGGGAGCCTATAGGGCCCTATGGACCCTATGGACCCTATAGAGCCTGAGGAGCCTATAGATCCTATAGGGCCCTATAGAGCCTGTGGACCCTGGGGAGCCTACAGGGCCCTATAGAGCCTGTGGAGCCTGTAGATCCTACAGACCCTATAGACCCTATGGATCCTATAGGGCCCTCTGGAGCCTGTGGAGCCTATAGAGCCTATAGACCCTATGGAGCCTATAGGGCCCTACGGAGCCTATGGAACCTATGGAGCCTATGGACCCTATAGACCCCATAAACCCTATAGAGTCCATGGAGCCCATAGAGCCCTATAGACCCTATAGAGCCTGTGGAGCCTATAGAGCCTGTGGACCCTATGGACCCTATAGAGCCCATGGAGCCCATAGGGCCCTATAGACCCTATGGAGCCTATAGACCCTATAAAGCCCATGGGACCTATGGAACCTATAGAGCCTGTGGACCCTATGGAGCCTATAGGGCCCTATAGATCCTATAGACCCTATAGAGCCTAGAGACCCTATAGATCCCATAGAGCCCGTGGGTCTGGTCCTATAGACCCTATAGAGCTGATCCTGTAGAACCCACAGATCCTATAGGTCTCACCCTACAGGGCATCCATGGGGTGTCTATAGGGGATCTAGAGGGGATCCATGGGGCATCTGTGCTGTGTCTATGGGGTTCCTATGGGGTTTCTATGGGGTCTCTATGGGATCGATGGGGTTCCTATGGGATCTATGGGGTTTCTATGGG